GAAATGACAAAAAAAGTGTCAGAAACTCGGAATTTTCTACAATCACGCCAAGTTCCTAATCATATCTGGGAGTAATTTTGTGATCTTGAAAACTACATAAATAACATCTATTTTTGCAGCAGAAATGTACAAACAAAAATTACAGACTTTAGGAAGTAGATTTCAAATTGAATTTTGTTTATTTTTTTGTGTTTTTTTTAGTCGTACCTACTAACTTCTACTACGCTATGTAAAAATAACGAAATAAAATACACCACGTGTTTTTGTATTATTATTCGCTTATAGCGAACTCCGGATATAACGAACCAGTTTTAGTTCATTTTTCAAGTTTGTTATATCCGGACTCAACTGTATATCCAAAATTAATTGCACTATCACCCCCTGCAAGGAATGCATCTACTTACCAAACACCCTGTATATATAAAACATTTTGCGTTTGTTTTTAACCGAGCGTATAATAGACCCACTTGTAACCATTACTGACTAATGTTTATTGTCTAGGTCACACACACAACAAACATTATAAGACATTATTCGGCTTTATTCAATAAAATCATACATAATAATTTCTGACGTCTAGACGCAATATGATACTCAATAAAATTCAGAAGTCAAGAGCGAAATACTACAAATATGTCAAGTAAAACGCGAATAGCTCCATAGTCTGTCTGCATAGTAAATAAAATAATTTCTGCACCAAAATGGCGAATTTAATCAAGTGAAGGCCTTAACCAATAAAAAACCTGACTACCATGCAGATATTTTTTTCTTAGCCGTCCGCACCAGTTCTGGCTGATTGCGCTTGCGCGTCTTACTGCCATGTTGCCGCTATGTACATATTTGGTTGGAAGTTGTATTTGAACCGAAACGGCGCAGATGTTCTTGGGTGAGATATAGCTGGCATTTCGGCTGGAGCTTCTACTTGAGAATTGGCGCATAGAGTTCGCCGTTCGCCACACCATTTTCTCTGAGGTTAGGCGTCGCTATTCGAGCAAGGCCAGGCGGTTAAAAACCAAATATGTGCATAGCGGCAACATGGCAGTGAGACGCGCAAGCGCAATCAGCCAGGACTGGTGAGGACGGTTAAGAAAAAATTATCTGCAACTACCATTCTACCCATAGAGAAAGTAGAAAAAAATATTTTACTTTCTCTATGATTCTACCTATCAGTCTTTATCTATGCTACCATTGTCGCCACTGTCTTGTATAAAGCCACTGTAGTGAAAACCATTAGATCAAACATATAAGCCTTAGTTGTAGATAAGTTCTATATTGTTGAGGCGGATTCACTTTTTTACAAACTTCTTTTTGGGTATTTCGCCTAATATAGATACCCTCTAGGTGATAGTTCTTGATTACTTTTTGATAAATAATTCGTTCTTATTGCGAAATAGGAGCACTATTTATCAAGCTGTAATAAAAGACGTGAGGAAATTCTGTCTTTTTTAAAGACAAAAATTTTTGAGGCGAAATACCCAAAAAGAGGTTTGTAAAAATATAAGCCTTGTTCTATGAAACATGCCGACGGTGAGTGCCCTAGCTGTATGATTTATAAGCTGTGGTATTGCTTCAACGTGAATATATTTTTGGGCCAGGCTGCATTAGCTATTGGAAAGATGTCTAAACCCCCAGTTACTATGGAGGTTGGACTAGAAAGCATCCTTCAAATTCTGCAGAATATATTTTCCAATGCAATAGAAGCTGCTTGTCCTGATATTAGAAATATACCTCCAGTTGATATTGCTTTATCAGGAGCGAATCCCAAGTTTGGTGATTACCAATGTAATTCAGCTATGAGTTTGGCGAATCTCTACAAACAACTTGGTAAGTGTGCAGCCAACTAAATTTGAATGTATTTGAAAAATTATTTTCAGGCCAAAAGCTTTCCCCGCGAGATATCAGCACTAAAATCATCCAGAATGTCGCTCCTCATGATCTCATAGCTAAGCTTGAAGTGGCAGGTCCTGGTTTTATAAACATATTTTTAAGCAAGCGTTATGTGCTGAGAGCGATTTCTTCAATTTTTGAGGAAGGCGTAAAACCGCCCACTCTTCCAAAGAAGCAAAAGGTTTTGGTCGATTTTTCTTCCCCCAATATCGCCAAGGAGATGCATGTTGGGCATTTGCGATCAACCGTTATTGGCGACAGCATTTGCCGCCTATTGGAATACTTAGGTAAGTGTACTAAACTACTGTTTTTACTCTGTTTACTAATTTGAATTTTCTGATCCTTCTCAGGCCATGATGTATTGCGAATTAACCACGTAGGCGACTGGGGAACGCAATTTGGAATGTTAATAGCCCATCTGCAAGACAAATTCCCCAACTATTTGGTGGAATCGCCCCCAATTAGTGATCTTCAGGCCTTTTACAAAGAATCGAAGAAAAGGTTTGATGAAGAAGAAGATTTCAAAAAGCGCGCATACGCCAGTGTCGTCAAGCTGCAGTCATTCGATCCTGACCATGTAAAGGCGTGGAAACTAATTTGCGATGTATCGCGGCAAGAATTTCAAAAAATCTATGATCGACTTGAAATCAGCGTTGTTGAAAGGGGCGAATCCTTCTACCAAACCCGCATGGAAAAGATTGTCAAAGATTTGCAGTTGGCGGGTTATCTCGAAGAAGACGATGGCCGAAAAGTTATGTGGGGAGATTCCGGCACCATTCCGCTAACAGTAGTAAAGTCTGATGGAGGGTTTACATACGACACCTCAGATATGGCAGCTCTGAAGCAACGCCTGGAGGAAGAGAAAGCTGACTGGATCATTTATGTTACCGATGCAGGACAAGCGACGCACTTCCAAACCATCTTTGCCTGTGCCAGGAAGGCGAAAATCTTAAACCCTCAAATTCACAGGTAGCTTGCAGTCATTTGATTTAATTTCGACTATACATTTTTGTACTTCTTTAGGGTTGACCATGTGGGCTTCGGCGTGGTACTTGGCGAAGATAAAAAGAAGTTCAAAACCAGATCAGGCGACACCGTGCGTTTGATTGATCTGCTGGATGAAGGTTTGAAACGGTCCTTGGATAAGTTAAATGAAAAAGAGCGCGAAAAGGTGCTATCGCCTGATGAACTAAAAAAAGCTCAAGAATCCATTGCATTTGGCTGCATAAAATATGCCGATCTATCACACAACCGTAATCACGAGTATGTTTTTTCATTTGATAAAATGCTGGAAGACAAAGGTAATACTGCCGTTTATTTGCTATATGCGTACACAAGAATCAAATCAATTGCACGGAATGTGGAGTTTACTGCTGAAAAAATCAGGGAAGTGGCTAGTAGTGTTCAGGTTTCGTTAGCGCACGAAAAAGAATGGAAACTAGCCAAGGTATTGGTTCGCTTCCCAGACGTTTTGCTTAAAATGACGGAGGATCTTTGCTTGCATCACCTATGCGAATTTGTTTATGATATTGCCACCACATTTACCGAGTTTTACGACTCGTGTTACTGCATCGAAAGAGACTCTTCAGGCGGAGTGGTCAAAGTAAATACCGACAGAATTCTTCTAGCCGAAGCTGCGGCTTTGGTGATGGAAAGATGCTTCCATATTTTGGGACTTAAGCCCGTCTCCAGGATGTAAGGCATTAAGTGATTCTGTGCAAAGTTTTGTTTACTATTAAACTTGGAGTTTGAAAATACTTTCCTGGTCAATAAGAATAATATCAAACATCCTCGTTTGTTTTTCTCTCGATTTTCCTGCTATCCAGGTAGCATTTATATGGTTCCTGCACTTCCTTCCATTAATCCGATATTAATTTCCTTAATACACAAATCTAGTAATTACTTATCATGTAGGTAGTTGTTAGTCTTAAGACACTACTATGTTATTGAGCAATTTAAGTGGTGCCTTAGTATCGATTGTACATTTCACTCTATATATACATTTGAAAAAACATTCAACTTATCAGCTAAGGTATATTAACACTGAAGAATCTCTTCGGGTCGCCCACTTTCGGTTGGAACCTTAGATTCACTCGTTTGCCCTTTTGATCATCAATTTCAAAGAACGAGTTCCAGTCCATCAAATAATAAAATCCACTTCTCCTCGGCGTTGTCGTTTCAGGCAACGTTTCGGTCGCAGTATCGGTGGACCCTCCTAATAAGAAATTAGAAGAACAGAGTCGTTTTAGGAATAGGTTCACTCACCAAAAGAATCTTCCAAGTCTTTTATGGACGCCGTTTTGGTTTCCTCTGGCAAGCTTTCAGAAGTAACTGTTACCACTTGCTCAGTGACTTCGTCTTCTGCGCGTTTAATGTCATTCTTGCTCAATCCGCGATCGTCTTCAACAGGATTTGGAGCTTTTTGATCATGAAGGAGTATTAAGTCTTCAGGGTTTTGTGGTTTTAAGCTGCTGATCAATTCTTTTAACTCTCTTTTGTCGGTTTGGTCCATATCGTCTTCAGTTATTGAGCCTAAAGTTTAGAATTGAATAGAGAGCAATCAGCCTTTGAAAACTAGCAGCTACCATTCAGTTTCTCCAACTTCCTCATGATTTCCAGTAATCGTCCCAGCTTTTGTACTTCGCCGTTCGGCATGATTCGAATTGGGCCAAATTCCTGATGGTTCTTTGAAGACTTTGGTATATTTTCATCATCAACGGATTTTGATAAAGTTTCAGTTGCAGGCTGCTCTCGTACTTTTCTTCCACCTCTGGTGGAACCAAATCCCATATTCTGTAGGATTGGTTTTAAGTCATCGGGCACTGCATCTATAGATATTTGTTCTATCTGGATATTTGGATTAGAACTATTGCTAGATGCATCTGCTATCTCATTACTGCGAGGAATTTCTGAAAACATGTTTTAGTTTTTTATTTAATTTGTGTTTAATTATTCACCTTTCTTCAGAGATTTACTGCTCCTCGTGTTCTTATCTAGCAATCCGAATTGCGACAACAATTCCTCCATTTCTCGCCTGCTTCCAGTATCTGCTGGCAAGGGTTTAAATCCCAAGTAGGACTTCGGATCGATTTTTGCCGTATCTGGATTAAATTCCGGAATTTCGTTTTCTTTTACATTCTCATTTGGATCGGGGAGCAAACCTGCAAAGGAAAATAATGGGCCCTAAATATACGCTACGTTCACAATGAGGGTGGGCATTTGGGAGTCATCAGTCTTTTCAAATGTTCGATTCTTAAGCAGACGATAGATAGATAATTGCTCACCAAAGTTCTTGAGAAGTTCTTGCATATCAGGTGAAAGATTATCAACTACCGCATATCCATTAGGTGAATTTGTAGTGGTAGATGTGGAGGGAGTATTTGTTGAACTAGTTGGATAAACTCCGATTGAGGCCAGGATATCTTTGACCCTATCTGCCTCACTTTTCTCGGATTGAGGAGCTACTGAAGTGAGTGACACTCCATGGGGATCTGTTAGAGTTGCCAGATTGAGATCAGCAACTACTTTCTTCAAATGTTCTGGAATCTAAAGGCACAAGCACGCTAATGGACGAACTACCCGGAAATAGCCCTTCTACCTCTAACTCTATTGAAGGTTCGGAATGGTACTTGATTTCTGAATCGTCATTTTTAACTGGCATGGGGATGAACGATTCACTATTTTCCATCTCTTGAGGCAGCAAATCTTCCAGTTCTGAATTTATTTCCGTTGCAGCTTGCACTAGAACTGGTGGCTTAATAATTCTGATTCCTTCTGGCGGATAAGTGGGTCGTTTGGAATGGTCTTCCGGATATTGGTGGTTTGAGTACTGGACCTCTTTTCGTAGTGGTTGGCGTCGCCTGGACTCCAGAAGGAGTATTTGTAGGATTTTATATGCGAAAATGCTTGCGCCTACCTTGGGCGATAAGTGGTTACTGGCATCTGTGTTGTGCTAGTAGTGGTCACTACTGGCCTTCTCCTTCGTTTAATGTCTCTTCTGGTGGTTGTTGAAAATCGGGGAGTTGTCACTCTTTCTGTAGTCGCTTCAAGAGTTTGTTTGCTGGGGCGTGAAGTGGATGAACTGAACTTAAACTGCACGTTGCCTAAGGAAATTTAAAAAGATATCAACAGTCCGGCTGTTTCCTGAGTAGAAAGTACCTCTAGAAGGTTTTCGTTTCGGAATAGTGTAGGGATTTTTGACATCTGAAGATTTAGTAGTTTTCTGTCGGAACAAAGGTACATTTTCCGTCGAAGTGCTCACAGCTGGCTGTTCATTGGGCAAGTAGTCGTCTTCAATTATGCTGGTAACGGGAGGTTTTGTGTAGAGGTCTTCCACATTTACCTGAAACGAATTTTATTAAATACTCCCAGTTGCGTGAACATTTATACCTGAAAAGTTACCTCATCAGACCTCAAAGGGGTGTAGGCTTTGACCACCATCAGAGCCTTTGGATCCCTTTTGGAATCTTTGCTGATATCTTTCAAAATACTCCCATGTTCTTGCTTCGTTAGATTATCTAGAATATCCAGAATTTCCCCTCTGGTCAGCCTGGGTAAGTCCGGGTTGGATTGGATGAGACGTTCCACTTCTTTGATAGTGTCTTCTGTATTGTCAGTCTGAAAATCAGTTTCACGTGAACATTTAAATCATCTGCATTCATGCTGACAGCATCAAATTAATACGAAAAATGTTGAGATTGAAACGTTTCCGAGTAAAACCGCTTCAGGCCATCACTCGGCGCTTTAGTGCTAAATGGTATCCAGACCCAGAGTATTTCGAGCAATTCAAAGGTCCTGTAATGTATCCAGATGAGACCACTTCCAAGGGTTCCCGATCCGCTTGAAAGATATCTAGATTGGAGTAAAGTTAAATTAGAAAATGTGCGCATCAACTTTGGGCCAGCTCATCCAGCTGCTCATGGATGTTTGCGGATGATTACCTACTTGGAAGGAGAAATTGTAAAAAGGCTGGACCTCCATATTGGTCTTCTACATCGAGGTACTGAAAAATTGATAGAGTATAAAATGTATATGCAGGCTCTTCCATACTTTGACCGATTGGATTATATATCTGTTTTGTGCAATGAACACGCTTTTTGTCTGGCGACTGAAAAACTATTGAATATACAGGTATGTTGTTTAGTTGATTAATTGATAACATTTTTTAGTTTTTCTGATTTACTTGCCGGTCTTCTTTTGTAAATGTGTATGATTATGCGGCTGTAGATGGTGTTGAAAAAATCGCACTATTGCGAGAATGCCAGCAAAAGATGGAATTAAAAAAGGTTTTTTTTCAAATGCAATTTTCGAAAATCGTGTATATTTTCCACAAGTAAACAATAGAATAACTCGATACAACGCCATAAGAATTAACGTCCTTTTGACCCCCTGTAGCTTGATAGCCAAGGCGAATTGGGACATTGTTAAAAAAGGCATTTTTTGCATAAAATGTAGGCCTGGGTAACACTGTGTTGAGTTGCGCTATTGAGTGTTGCCGCTCTCTGAGTTAACGAGTTATAACTCATCGGTTAATGAGTTATAAGTAATTTATTAAATCTTTACGAGGCTTGAGACTGGAATTTTCACATCTTAAAAACATTTTTTTCTAAGTAAGTAACGTTTTACTACTTTGTTCAAACGACTTAAAAAAGTCATCTAGATTTTGCCAGCAACAGAACAGAGTCCAAAGAAAGTCGACGAGTTTTCTTGTAAAATCGATCTCTTTATTTTTTTGCATAAAAGTTTGCAAAACTGCAAAATGTTTTCCAAAAATTTTTGGAAAGCGGTTAACCGATAAGGCCTTAGGAGGCGAGTGAAATTCATCTTATAATTTTTCACAGAAAATACCTAAAGTGTCAGTATTTTAACTAAAAAATAATGCGATTTTTGCGTAGAAAGAGTTGTTTAATATAAACTTTGTTTTGTTTAGGAAAAGTTTAGAAATCGCCTACGATGAGGACAGCAAATTTTCCAAATAATTTTTTGTAAACTTTTGACCTCTAGTCATTTTTCAAGATCATCTTAATTACTTTCGCTAAAAAACTAAATACAATTATTTGGTTTTTGTGCCAAATTCGAATCTTAAAAAATGCTTTCTAAAGTTCCCTACAAACCGATGAATGAGGCGAATTTTCTAGCAAAATTAATTTTGTCATTTTTGGATTAAGAGACCCCAGAAAAGGGTTTTTTTGCGTTTTCGATTACAAACTTTTAGTTTTGTGATCGGTTTTGGAGAAAACCTTAATTGTTTTAGGGAAAAAAACGGGTGGAATTTATTTTCGTTTTTTTTTCTCGAATTCAACGCTGTTTTTGTGCAATTTTTCCAAAGCTATAAATTTATCTTGTAATTTTTCGAGTAAAAGATCGTCGTATCGTATTTTTAAGTGAAACTCTATAAAATAGAGCGTTTGAGTAGAAAGTAAAGCAAAAAAAATCAGTCAAAACACATTTTTTAACAAACTCTACAGTCTTCAGAGGAATAAAGGAGACGAGATTTCCAAATAATCTGTTAGAAACTTTCGCTTATTCTGTTCGTATTTTGATAGAAAATTATTTAATTTTTGTTCCAAATTCGACGCTGGAAAGAGATTTCAAAACTTTTTACAAAGCGACCAAGGATTCGAAATTAATTTCAAAACTTTTCGCGGAAATGACCTTAAGATTGTCAGCATTTTAAAGTAAAACTTTAGAAAATTTCTCATTTAGAAGAAAGAGTAACTTGGCTAAAACTGGACAATTCTGCAATTTTAAAGAAATTTTAAAAATATTATTAAAAAATGGCATTTAAAATAAATCTTAAAACAAGTAAAAAGTCATCAACAATTTCCCAGCAACGGAAGTGAGTTACTGCACCGGTACGTTGGGTTGGCGCACCAAGCCATTTGCGTTGCACTGCGCCAACTCCTAAAAATTCACTGAGTTACCCAGGCCTAATAAAATGGTATCAGGAATTCCCATCTGCACGTGGGACAAAGTCATGGCTTCCCTGTTATTTTTTTAGTTTTTATGAAACTTTTCGCTACCAGTTTTTCAGTAGAATTCAATAATGTTAGGTGATCTTGTGGGAAACCAATATTTTATTAGTTATTGACAAAAAGAGCAATTTTTTAAATTGATCGCTGTGTATATTTTGAACTGAGCTTGAAATGACCTTTCCAAGAATGTATTTGATACTTTTTCATGCTCAATTTTATGTGTGAAACATAGAGCTTCAAAGCTTTGTAGAACGTGTTAACTGCTAAGCGTCCGCTTTGCACGAGTAGACTGGTTCTCTCAATGTCTCAAAATGCCAACAACGACCAGGAAAAGTTCAAACATTTGTTTGTCCTTCATTAAAAATAAATCTACTTGTATGGATCTGTTCTAAATAGGTGCCTCGCAGAGCTAAATACATCCGAACCCTATTTTCTGAGATTACGAGACTTCTTAACCATCTTGCTGGAGCATCGTTTTTGACTTTGGATGTAGGGGCGATAACTCCGCTTTTTTGGCTCTTTTAAGAACGCGAGAAACTATATGAAATTTGCGAGAGAGTATGCGGAAGTAGAATGCACTGTGGGTATTTCAGGTAAAACCCAACAGCCTCTCAAGCCTTATTTAAATGTAAAACCTTGTCCAGAATTGGAGGAGTTGCTCAAGACATGCCCCTGGGATTAATGGATGATATTCATGAGCTGGTATCAAAGCTGCCAGAGCGGCTGGATGAGCTTGAATATTTAGTCACCAACAATAGACTTTTTATAGCCAGAACTAAAAATATTGGGCCAATAACAGCTCACGAAGCGCTCAATAGAGGATTTAGTAGCGTCATGCTTAGAGCGACCGGTGAAAAGTGGGACATTCGGAAAGTGATACCATATGAAGTGTACGACGAATTGGAGTTTGATGTTCCGGTTGGAGCGAATGGAGATGTTTACGACCGATTTATCTTACGCGTTGCCGAAATGCGACAATCCATAAGACTGGTAAAGTAATTCTCGCGCCTCATATTGCGGGGATTTGGAAATTTGGAACCATCCACAAGTCAATCAGCTACTGGACAAAATGCCTCCGGGTGAAGTTAAGGTGGACGACAACAAAATTTCCCCTCCAACAAGAGCAGAGATGAAGAAGAGCATGGAAAGTCTGATTTGCCACTTTAAATTATTCTCCAGAGGATTCAACGTGCCACCCGGCTCAACTTACACCGCCATCGAACACCCTAAAGGCGAGTTTGGGGTGTATTTGGTGTCGGATGGCACCTCCAAACCCTACAGGTGCAGGATCAGACCTCCCAGATTCATCCATTTGTCCGGAATGGACGATTTGGGGCGAAATACGTTTCTTGCTGATGTAGTGGCTATTTTAGCCAGTATTGATGCGGTGTTTGGAGACGTTGATAGATGAAGTGTTTGGATTTGTAATATAGATTTTTGAGTGTAACGATAAGAGTCTTACCCCGGCATGATCGTTGATGGATCTCTGCACCTTGGAGGTGCGTTGGAGGGCGTTGATTTCTTCAGGGGGCGAGAAATTCTGCAAGCCGGGCAAGTTGAGGGTTTGGGGTGGCGCTGCCGCCACACTCACCAGGTGGATTACACAGAGCCACTTTACTAGCTGAAAAAAATCCTAAATTATTCAGCATTTAAATTGCTTTTTGTCTTGATATTCAAAGCAAGCAGCAGTAGTACAATACTTGTTTGTATGCATTTACATAAAGAAATTATGGAAAAGTGCTTCGGTGTTTATCGAAAACTGCCATTCATCAATGTTCGATGAGTAAAACATTGATATTATGTGTACGAAGTCATGCTATTTTAGTCATTATCTCGGTTGGAAACCGTTACTGTTTGCTGCTACCGGTACTCATATGTAAACCAGGCTATTTTTTACAATAGTGGTACTAAAGACGGGGTCGCGCAAAATTTCAGATTAATATGTCTTTGGGCAAGAGCAAAGAAGACGTTTCAATTTGATATTGCATGCAAAAAATAGCTTGTTGTAAATAATTTAACGGCATCTCTAAAAGGTTGTGCTAAACCAATAAAACGTACTTTATTTGGTACGTACTTGCTCGTAGGAATATGAATTTTTAGTTTGGAATTGCCAGGAAGTACGTTTTGTCTGAATGCATGCAGGAGACAATTTTAAGGGAAAATTTTACTTCATTTGAAGTGGTCTAGGGAACGAACTTGAATTTAATGAAGGCAGTTTTCAAAGACGATTTTCTCCCCCAGCCCATTGAGAAGGACTGAAAAATACATTTAAGTTAAGTCACAAATGCGACTGGGGTTCCTAGTCAGCATCTCTCAAATACCGTTTTAATAATTATGATTAACAGGGTATTGGGTCAGGTCGTCTGTTATCTCACATGTCGCAGCCAATTAGCACCTGCATTCGGCTCGTAACTAGCACATTGTGCAACGTTTTGTTCAAATATCATCATAAGATAACGTAGCATAGATCGAATTGAATAGAAAATCTGACGCAAAGAAAATCTAGCAAAGTGGCATTTGGGGCCTAATTTCAGATTTAGTTTCCTGCGAAAATCCCCGCTTTTCAGACCGCCTTTTTTATAATTGCAATCCCTAAAGCGATTTTTACTTTAATTTTCAATCACCGCAAAAATGTTTGTACACCCTGTAAATTTTAGTTTTATGCGAATTCTTCTAATTTTCGATTATTTTGAACCGGTTTTATATAGAAACGTTAAATTCTTTTATCAAGTAGTGAACGTCCAAGTTGCAGAATTTTTGTGTAAAACAAGAGATGGTTACCATTAAAAGACCATCAAAAAAATATGCAGAGTGGCCATTTTCTGAATCTTTGTATGGGTAACTTCTACATTTATAAAGATAGAGAATCCGTTAAATGGGCAAAATTGGGCAGAATTCGATTGCCTACTCATTACCGTTTTCAAAATTTATGTACCCGACTTGGTTCCTGAAATATCCTGAAAACGCAAGAAATCAACACTTTTTTAATTATCATGTAATTCGTAAACTGCTTATATTAGAAAAAAAAGTTAAAATTGTCTTTGGTAGAACTTTTTGCGTTGAATTCAATAAACTAGCACTCGGTGTCATAGTCAACTTGATTTACGAGATAAAAAATAAACTCATGTTTTTTTTAAATGGTAATCATAGTTGGCTGTGCGCCTTTTAAAATCCTTATTTTTTTCTGAATTTAACAATATAACTGTTTGTATGTTTTTCTCCTTTTGTTGCCGTAAAACTTCAAAAGAAGATAAAAAATGTGTAGTAAGCTATGGAAACAAGAACTATATTATCACACAAAGCACAAAACAAAAATGAAATAATTAACAGACACAATCATGTTTACTGGGCTAATGAAAATCATCATCWAARTGAAAATAGGCGAGATAAACATGTTTTTTTTTGTGAATGTCTAGTGTGGCATTTTTAGTGCTAAAATTGTTGGTCCATTCTTTTATAATCACAATTTAAATATGGAAAGATATGTACACTTTTTACCAAATGCTAACGGAAAACGATTCACCAAGTCTTCAAGTTCATTTGGTGAAAAGTGTAAATATCTTTCCATATTTAAATTGTGATTATAATAGAATGGACCAACAATTTTATCACTAAAAATGCCACACCAGCCATTCACAAAAAAACACGTTGATCCCGCCTATTTTCAATTAGATAATGATTTTCATTAGCCCAGTAAACATGATTGTGTCTGTTAATTATTTCATTTTTGCTTTGTGCTTTGTGTGATAATATAGTTCTTGTTTCCATAGCCTACTACACATTTTTTATCTTCTTTTGAAGTTTTACGCCAACAAAAGGAGAAAAACATACAAACAGATATATCGTTAAATTCAGAAAAAAATAAGGATTTTAAAAGGCGCACAGCGAACTATGATTACCATTTAAAAAAACATGAGTTTATTTTTTATCTCGTAAATCAAGTTGACTATGACAGCGAGTGCTAGTTTATTGAATTCAACGCAAGAAGTTCTACCAAAGACAATTTTAACTTTTTTTCTAATATAAGCAGTTTACGAATTATATGATAATTAAAAAAGTGTTGATTTCTTGCCTTTTCAGGATATTTCAGGGACCAAGTCGGGTACCTACATTTTGAAAACGGTAATGAATAGGCAATCGAATTCTGCCCAATTTTCCCCATTTAACGGATTCTCTATCTTTAAAAATGCATACAAAGATTCAGAAAATGGCCACCCTGTATTCATATATTTTATTTGTCTTAAAGAGCCACCGTTTTCAAACCTTGCCACCAATTTTCGCCGTTTCATGAAAGAGAGCGTATTGCGCTCCGAATGTAATTGCTTAGAAAAAAAGGACTCGTTAATAACGCAGACAAAATAATTGTTAACAATAAGAAGATTATTTTATAACATTTAATTATAATTTCCTGACCGTTTTCTCCTGCAAATTAATTCAGCTTGCTGTTGAACAGCCATTAATTTTTGTTAGGTAACGGTAATAATGTCTTTAATTCATCTGCAGATTGTTGTTATTGATACCTCTGAGTTTGGGTTGCTCATACGAGAAAAAAGCTGCTTTTCCTGTTGCAGCATGCTCTTTACCCTCGTTACTTTTGTATAAAATTTAACAATTCAGAATCCAATTGATTGTGTCACAGGTGACTAATTTCAAACCATTAAAATAGTGTTTGGTACACCCACTTTCGATTTTACTTTTAGGTGTTAGTGGACATAATTTAGTTATTGAAAGTTAAAGAAAATCAACCAATTAGCCGAAAAACAATTTGCATTCGAACACTAATTTTCAATCCCTAGAATGCCTATAATATTTACGAACGAATTAATTCTTGCTTAGGTAATGGTGTTGTTGAGTTGCAAACGTTTCGTATCATCCAAAAGACATTAGCATGCAGTTAAAGATAATTAATTTTACAAGTTTTCGATTAGATGGAGCTAGAGTTAATTGATAACTATTCGTGTCCTTTGCATAATGTATTACCACATTTAATAGCTGTCAATGGAGAATTGAACAATTATGTTAATCGAGTCGACTTAAATTTGTATTTGGAAATTCAACCTATTTCTAATGTAGATACCAACATTTTTCCATCGTTCTAGTGTTTAATTTATTTTAAAGTAAATCCCTGTTAATTTTTTATGATTTCTAAGTAATTTTTCCATGTCATTACACCAAACTGTGCTTTGTCATTTGACTGGAATTCCACAACACGAATAAATCGCACTTATTACCGAACGCTTGTTATATTTTATGTAAATATTCGCCGGCACAAACCTGTCACCTTAACAGGCCCACTTACCATAATGTAACTTTCGCTATCACTTTCTTTTACTAATAAACAAAATTCATCTGAAGAAATGTGGATTTCAATGTTTTTTAATGCAACCTGGCCGCTACTGGCACAATTAATGACTATTAATTGCTTAGAACAATAGACCAAAGAAAAAAAGTAATTTTATTTATCTATAAAAAATAACACCCAGATAAACAATAAATACGAAATGTTCAAGGTAGCCGCCGGTTTGTTGAAACTTTCACAAATATCGCGGTACTCGTGTACAAGAAGTGACCTAGCAAACTAACCGGTGATTGGGAAGTCTCACGTACCAAACCATATTACCCCTCTTAAGCCACAGTTTAAGGAGGAAATCGCTATTCATATTTCCTTTCACTAGGTTTTCAGTTTTTCAATCTGAAAAGCAAATAGATGCTTTTGAGATGAATCAATCCAAATTCACACAAATGCCCACTTCTCCGTTATACAAACAGAACAAATTCAATTAGTTTTTCCCTTTGCCAAATATTTCACATATAAATAAAACTAGCGCATAGCATTTCTCCGTGATTTTATTTAAGCGAATAATAAGCATAAATCTTATTCGTATTACCTTCGCCAGACAGCAATAGAAATCCTACATCCATTCCTAAATATATGGCTATAATCCATAATGAACAAATTTAATTACTAAATCAAGAAAACATTTCACAGATATTTACATCTGAACTAAAATTCGATTGTGCTTCCTGATAGTTCAAACTATTGCAACTTAATTTCCACAAGACGAGATTATTCAATTAAAAAAATATAACATCAATGTTCTCGATTGCGACTAGATTAGGGTATTGAATGCTTGCCTAATATTATGCACGAGTTCCCTGTAACGAAAAGCAACAAACAGTAATTATAAACTTAATAAGCAAAACTGCAAATCCACTGCGTTAGAAAATCAATATAAAAAGAAATACAAACATACACAAGGCTTAACGGATACTTAAATAGCTTTAGAAAAATATTTTCGTCACATTTCAGATAGTTCAATTGTTACCATAATTTTGTTCCTCGCCTTTAATTGATCATACCCGATGTATACGAAAAACCTATTTAAAGTCTACATAGCTTCATAACGAAAAAGCAACCGATCTTCGAAAACGCTCCTTCTTTCTAAAGAGAGGTTTTTATATCGCGCCACTGATTTGGGCAAACAACTTAAGATATTTATATAATTAATAGGAATTTTACAAATTATTTACAAAATTAAAACTACATTTTTTGAAACTAAAGCATGAACATTACTAAAATCAGCTTTTTATCCCGTGCTTCCTCGATATCAGAACGTACTAATTTTTAATTCGATTAACAAAAACGCCATCGATTGAAATTCAATTTTTGAATATTGGAAGCTTTTTCCCGACACATGAATTTTTCTACCAAGTAATTACTAAACTCGGTGCAGATAAAATTTTGTTTAAAATGAAATTTCCAATATTAAACGATAAACAATCAAACAAAGTTTAAAAAATTAATAAGAAATAAACATCTACATACAACTATGATAGCAGCCAACTAATTCTGGAATGTTTTTTAAAAACATTTGAATAGAATCACACACCATAAAAGTACATAAAAACCGCACACGCATCACGAGATGATGATAAATAGGTTTCTCGTATTTCTAGAATTAAGTAATTAACCCGATCCATTATACACACTTAATAAAATATACAAACAACCAACAAGATATTATATAAAATTAGGATTTTTCAAAATCTTTTAATATATTATTTCATAAGTATAGATACATATTATATCTAATCTTGTTAGGCGCAGTGTTGTTAATTACACTGATAAGGCGTATTTCAACGTAATTCTCATCAAAATATTCCCATTTCCTGAAAAACCGTTTAAAACTAAATGCAGTTCAAGCAACAGTATTGGAATCTCTTAAAGTTATAAAAAAATTGTTGCAAGATGATAAATTTGGTTAAAGTGGGATTTTTACGTCGCAAACACTGCGCCTAGCAATTTCCAATAGTCAGCCTTTTTTGGGGAAAGAACAAAACGGTATATGTCTTGAAAATTATTTAATCATCCTTAGATTTTTCAGTATTCGACTCGTCTTCTTCGTCGGAATAGTTGTTGGGTTGTTCACCGGGTTTCAGCAATCGTCCAACATAATCGTATTTTTCTGCAAAATTAATTCAATATTTAAGTAATTAAATGAAAAACGCAGTTTACCAGTATAACCCTTAGAGAATTACAATTGTAACTGAATATTTTCTCTTATATATGTTGAGTAAGTTACAACCATCGCTGTTAAATTAATCTCATTATCTCTAACTTTTAGTAAATTAGGTCAATCTAAACTAATCTCTCTGATTACTGCAACACGATACATCAACAACAAAGCAAAAAATGAAACAATCGATTCAATTCCACTAGTGGCGCGAGCACTATGTGTAGTGTAGTGCTTAATACATGCAATGAGCTCATTAAAAATTCCTTCATAATGTTTTGTCGTACAAAATGATGAAGTATGTTACGACTAACTAAATTAATAAATCTAACTTATCTCTAAAGTACTTATATATCATCGAGTAGATAGTAGGATATAATTCAGCATCAAATTTAACGATTTAAAAGTATGTGTAATTAAATATACGTCTATTCACTACACACATTATTGCTTGTAATGAATGATATGTGGAATTTTTCGTACTGTAGATAAGTGATGAAATGTACTTTTAAACTCAGTTCCATGGACTTGTTTTCGAAATGTTCTATTTCGGCTGTTGGTATTGTCATAATGTTTAGAAAGTTAATTTAATTTAATGTTAGTTATTGTTACGTGTTTAAAAAAAAGCCAGTTACATTTCGTGAATGATCCAATCTATCTCTCTCCGTTATGAGAATCTAGTTCAATTTTTACCCCTAGGTTTTATGTTCAAAAATGTAATAAGAACTTGATGTCATCGTCAATCAGAAAACTTATAAAAATAAATATAAAGGTTCATATAAGCACGTCTGCAAACGCTTCGCTGTGAAGATACAATATGTTGAAATTTGAGTTTATTGTGTTTATTATCTTTTTGTGAGTTTTTCAGATATTTATCTCGCATTTGGAACGTTACCATTGGCATTAATGTTACA